TATATGCTCGTACATCATACGAAGTCCCTATAGGGGCGCCGTGGTACTGCTTGGCAGGCACCAATTGTACGCTAGGTGGAGCTAGTGGCGTCAGCTCCAAATGGAATGGAAACGCGTTCGCTCCCAAACGCTTGATCAACGCCTCCTGTAGTGGCGAATTCGGTTCTCTATCGTGGTTGCAATGTATCGGCCAGATTTGAACAAGGCTCATTATAGCTTCGTTACAGAACTTCAGTCCCATCACTTCTTCATCTTCTCTGCCATAGCTAGTGAGAACAATAAAAAAAATACCTCTATTATGACACCTTAGTGCTTTGAGGACTAAAAAAAAACTAAATAAAATCTTTGGACAGATACATGACTTATAAAAAAAACTTGCTAATATTATAAATGCGAAAGTTTGTATGGATGGTTGTTTGTGAGAGTTTATACCCCAAACTGCTGAACGGATCTTGATGAAATTTGGAACAGATATAGAAAATAGTCTGAACACATAGAATGCTTACTAAGATTTTTTTTTAATTCCTCTCGGATGAATAGCTAGTTCAAATATAAAATTCCTTACCGAAATGTTAAGGTGACTTGACCGAACAGTTTCTTGTTCTCCAAACACTCAGGTTCCACGTGCAGAACTCCTTGGATCTTGTCAATGTATCCATTCTCCACAACCAAGTCGCGGGAAGCCAAATAAAGCGTCAATTTATTATTTGGTGACGATTTTTTAAACACTCTGTAAACAAAATTAATGTTGAAAGTAATTCAAAAAGTAAGAATAAATTAAATTACGATTGTTTACCGTTGAGAATTGAGTGCGTTGTCAGTCGTCATATTTTTGAGTTTCCCGTTTATCTGAAACAAAGAATATGTCCATTAATAATGAAATAAAATGTAATAAACTTAAGTACTAATGACAATTGGAGCGTTCGTACACCTTTGACTAAACTATCTCACAACTGTATAGTCTATGAGCTTTATATGGAGTTGCGCACACTACTCCATTTTTAGTTGTGCAACTAAATAGTTGAATTGGCCGCGAAACAATTGACAATCGCACAACAATTAATTTATCAAAGGTGTTCGACCGCTCTTAGCTGCTACATATATTTCTAGATTTGTAATCACTACAAAGAAACAAAGTCACTGTCCACTATCCGTCAGTCCCTAAGGATGCTGATCTTTAGAACTGCGAGGGGAATTTTAATATAGTTTTTTTTTTTACAGTTAGAATGAATGAGGAGGAAGGTTTACATGTATTGTTTGTAGGGAAATACTGATAACTTTAGAGCTTTCTAATGTGTTATAATAAACACATTTTCTTATCACCGAAGACGTGCGAAGCCAGGGCAGGTCGATAGTCTTATCATGTAATCAGCAAACCGTCTAAAAATCAGCCAGTTAGTCATCTTAAAACATGAACACCTTTTTTATAAAATACGATCACAGGATGTAATTAAGATAAATTTGTAAATCTATTGGACGTCTTCCAAGTTTCTCGACGGAATCTAATTTTAACAAATTGTTAATTAGTTCACTAATTTGCTATTGTGTCAGTTAAATTACAGTTTCTTGAGAGAGTTTGACATTTTCTATACAAGTTTATGCTGTAATTAAATTGGATACTTAAAAAATTAAAAAAAAATTGGCAACATAATCCGTAAGGTACGATTACGCTTACTGTTTTAGAACAAACTAGTTGTTGCTCGCGACTTTGTATGCGTGAAATAAAAAAAATGTAACATATGTTACTCACTCAACGTAGGTTTTTAATGGTAAAAGAATTTTTGAAATTGGCCCAGTAGTTTTTGAGTTATTTCAATACATACAAGAATCCACATACAAACCTCTCCTTATTATATTAGTATATTAGATTCATTTTAGTTGAATAAAACAACACTCAAATCACAACGACTAAAATGTCACAATCAATGTCACACGATATTATTTTAAACTTCTAGTCTTTATAAAGTCTAGTATTAACATACCTTTACTTGGTATACAATTTAGTACTTCAATTGTTCACAGATGAAATCAATTCAACGTACCGTTAGTACATACATTTTATGTCCGAATTGTAATTATTACGTCCTTATGCATTAGAAAGGGTGATATATATTCAAATCGAGTACAAAAGATCTCAATTCTATTGTTCAAGTAATCGGCGGACCCTAGCTCGTACGATAACAAATTAATTTTCAATCTTACTAAT